CTGCTTTCAGATACAGTCAGATATATATAAACACCCACACGTCAGGAAACACATACCTTAACTTATCGGGAGTATTAGTCAAAAGTATATTCAGCAATAGACCCTGAAACGATGTATGAGCTTAAAATTAGATATGGCTTCATTTGCATATTTATCAGATAATGGTACTGTTTATCGGATTGTTTATTGTGTCGAGGACAGCATCTGTTGTGTGATAATAGCATATATATACTGTTCCGGTATGATATTAGCTGGAATATTGCTTAAGCAGCTGAAGTATTTCATCCGTAAAATTAGCAGTAGCCTCGTCATTAACTCTCCAAAACCCTGACCAGTGAAACCAGATCTAATTCTGTCCATGTTAAGTGTTCATTAACCACTGGCAGTATTGACATATGCTTGATGTGTTTGTGTGAGCCTGTAGCTGCGATGTCCCGCTGACGTAGGCCGGAGGCGAGCGAGGGTCTAACCTGACCACCGCCGACGTAGGCCGGGGCTGTAGAGGTGATCAAGCACCTGTTGTATGAAAGGCTGAATTGTTTTGCTTTCATTAGTGTCAGTATCTCTGGCATTAACGGAGTGGTGATCCCCACATTTCGCAGGATTAGCCGTTATTCAGTTGTCTTTATCGCAGGCAAACACTGGGGTGTACACGGATTTCAACGCTACACAGACGTCAATTGGGCATTCCCTCCATGTCAATCCAAGCTGAGTGGACCCTGTTTGCCAAATTCATTGTGCATGCAAGTCGCTAACTAGCACCATGCTGTCGACAGTATCACACGGTTACTTCCAACACGCTTTTTGTCGTAGCTTGGCAACCTAAGCTAGACTACGCCAGAATGTGGCATTTTTCGTATCCATGACAATGCTAACCGCTGGTCCGCAAGCTGGAGGATGGATGTGTGTGTGTGTGCGACACATACTCTAACGGATGACCCTATTATGACTGACAGCCCTTGATGAATCAGAAAAGAGGCTCAAATAAACAGGCGGGATTCAGAAAGGATAGAGTTTGTTTGCGAGGTCACTTCTAGAATTCTTTTGCTTGTCTCGCACACTTTGAGTCATCTGAGCTGAAACACATCCAGCATTGTGGCAGAGCTGTTGGCCGGTGTCGTTGGCAAACCTCCGCGACGTCACAGGGATAGGTACTTCACACACGCACCTGGTCGACTGCGGAAAAAAACACCTGACCACCTAATTAGGTGCACCGAGATCCTTAAGTGCATCCTTGGATGGAGATTATTTCTATTCCTTGATTCTCATTTTCTGTTTCGGCTCCGCCATTTCTTTGCTTTCTGTTTTTCAAGGTCAATATTACATTGTGATTGAAGTAACGTACCTAAGTTAAGAGGAATGTACACAAAAATTAATCTAATTTTACTGCACTCTTTTGATCACTGGATTGTCTGGTTCAAACATGATTATTTACAGACCGCCGCCATATAGCTGGAATATTGCTGAGTGCAGATTTAAACAACAAGCAAACAAAACTGCACTCTTTGATGTAACATATTAACTTGACATGTTTCTGCAAAGTTGAGTTTCTGTGTCACAAACTTTTTATCTCAATTAGAAAAGTGCCTTGGGTTATCTCCCTTTGATTCTTTTTATGTAACATATTAACCTGATATTTTTCTGCAAAGTTGAGTTTCTGTCACAAACTTTTTATCTCAATTAGAAAAGTGCCTTGGGTTATCTCCCTTTGATTCTTTTTATGTTTTATCCTTTTATCCTGAAACAACATGAACCTGCTTTTGATTTTGGGGGCATGATGGGGTCAAGGATCAAACATCTGACCGTAAAATCAAATCATTGATCGTAACACAGAGTGGTTCATACCACTCTATCCACTAGAGACTATCATTGACTGTAACACAAAGTGGTTCATACAACTCTATTCGCTAGACCATTGAGGCCAATATTGTTCTGTACACAAAATGGTTCCTACAACTTTACCTGCTAGACCATGGTAGCCAACATTGCTCTTTACACAAACTGGTTCCTACAACTATACCTGCTAGACCATGGTAGCCAACATTGCTTTTTGCACAAAATGGTTCCTACAACACTACCTGCTAGACCATGGTAGCCAACATTGCCAACATTGCTCTTTACACAAAATGGTTCCTACAACTCTACCTGCTAGACCATGGTAGCCAACATTGCTCTTTACACAAAATGGTTCCTACAACTCTACCTGCTAGACCATGGTAGCCAACATTGCTCTTTACACAAAATGGTTCCTACAACTCTACCTGCTAGACCATGGTAGCCAACATTGCTCTTTACACAAAATGGTTCCTACAACTCTACCTGCTAGACCATGGTAGCCAACATTGCTTTTTACACAAAATGGTTCCTACAACTCTACCTGCTAGACCATTGAGGCCAATATTGCTCTTTACACAAACTGGTTCCTACAACTCTACCTGCTAGACCATGGTAGCCAACATTGCTCTTTACACAAACTGGTTCCTACAACTATACCTGCTAGACCATGGTAGCCAACATTGCTCTTTACACAAACTGGTTCCTACAACTATACCTGCTAGACCATTGAGGCCAACATTGCTTTTTGCACAAAATGGTTCCTACAACTCTACCTGCTAGGCCATGGTAGCCAACATTGCTCTTTACACAAAATGGTTCCTACAACTCTACCTGCTAGACGATGGAGGCCAACATTGCTCTTTACACAAACTGGTTCCTACAACTCTACCTTCTAGACCATTGAGGCCAACATTGCTCTTTATACAAAATGGTTCCTACAACTCTACCTGCTAGACGATGGAGGCCAACATTGCTCTTTACACAAACTGGTTCCTACAACTCTACCTGCTAGACCATTGAGGCCAACATTGCTCTTTAAACAAACTGGTTCCTACAACTCTACCTTCTAGACCATTGAGGCCAACATTGCTCTTTATACAAAATGGTTCCTACAACTCTACCTGCTAGACGATGGAGGCCAACATTGCTCTTTACACAAACTGGTTCCTACAACTCTACCTTCTAGACGATGGAGGCCAACATTGCTCTTTACACAAAATGGTTCCTACAACTCTACCTGCTAGACCATTGAGGCCAACATTGCTCTTTACACAAACTGGTTCCTACAACTCTACCTGCTAGACGATGGAGGCCAACATTGCTCTTTACACAAACTGGTTCCTACAACTCTACCTGCTAGACCATTGAGGCCAACATTGCTCTTTACACAAACTGGTTCCTACAACTCTACCTGCTAGACGATGGAGGCCAACATTGCTCTTTACACAAAATGGTTCCTACAACTCTACCTTCTAGACCATTGAGGCCAACATTGCTCTTTACACAAAATGGTTCCTACAACTCTACCTGCTAGACGATGGAGGCCAACATTGCTCTTTACACAAAATGGTCCATACAACTCTACCTGCTACACGATGGAGGCCAACATTGCTCTTTACACAAAATGGTTCATACAACTCTACCTGCTACACGATGGAGGCCAACATTGCTCTTTACACAAAATGGTTCATACAACTCTACCTTCTACACGATGGAGGCCAACATTGCTCTTTACACAAAATGGTTCATACAACTCTACCTGCTACACGATGGAGGCCAACATTGCTCTTTACACAAACTGGTTCCTACAACTCTACCTGCTAAACTATGGAGGCCATCACTGATCGTACCTCAGAATGTGTTGCCGTATCTTTTCATTCATTGCTGGAACGCAAAGAGAACACCAAACATGACATGGCAGTAAAGAGGCCTGAAGCAATTCTGGCCGTATCCAAAGAAAAAGTTGAACTTTTCAAAACTTCACAGTTTGCATTGATTAAAAAAAATCATGTAAACACCTGTCATGAATGAACCGGATGTCATTGTTTAAAAAACCCACAATGAAAGACATGTTTACACATATACAATATATAATCAAAACAGACTTTCATGTTGAGTGAAGGGTTAAATCATTATCTTACAAATGTAAGAAAATATTGAATTTTGGAAGTAGAATATGATTTAGAACCCAGTATCCCAGACATCTGGGTCTGTCTTGTCTGAGTCAGCTGATTTGTGACAACACGGCCTTTCATTTCTTCTTTACTCGAAGCCTGTAAAGACGAAAAACTGAAGATTAAATCCAAACATTAATTGAAATAACAGGCCTTCGCAGTCCACCTTCCTGGTCTCTACTATGAGTGGGTGTCATTTTATTTGTTGGAATGGTTTCTACAAGTCTGCAGGAATCTAATCTCAACACATCCTGCTATTGATTGAAGTCCTGAGAGCTTCTCAGTTGTAGTGTAATAGCGGTTTACAAACTGAAAATGTATTGCATTGCGGGCAGAGAAACATGACGGTATAGTGGTCTATCCCTTGCCTACGTACCGGGGTTCGTGTGAAGATCCGGGTTAGAGTCGGTCTTCAGCAACCCATGCTTGTCGTAAGAGGCGACTGATGGGATCGGGTGGTCAGACTCGCTGACTTGGCTGACACATGTCATCGTATCCCAATTGCATAGATCCATGGTCTCAATCACTCTATTATCTACAGACCTCCCTCATTGAGCTGGGAATGCAGTATTTGACAAAAAAATAAAAATAAACAACAACAAAAACAGCCACCAAACACTCCACATACAATCATATTTCAATCTTTGTTGACTCTCCAGTTTGTGAATACAGATTTTATGTATTTGCCTCTAAAAAGGTGGTCAGGCTCGCTGAATTGGTTGACACATGTCATCGCATCCCAATTGCATAGATTGATGCTCATGCTGTTGATCATTGGATTGTCTTGTCCAGACCAACGCCATATAGCTGGAATATAGATGAGTGTAGCATAAAACTAAGCTCACTCACACCTCTAAAAAGACAAACACTGCCAGACATTAAAATATTGAACGTTCATAATTGCTTAAGGTGAGCTACAGTTCCATGTCACTTTCTTTTATTTGGTGGAAGTATTTTTCCCTTTCAACTTAAAGCATTTCTTTGTTTCAGATATGAGAACTTTGTGTCATCTCGCAGTGGGGACTTTGCTGCTGGATCTCCGACCGAGGGCAAGAGAGCTACCCATGCATGATGTTCTTGTGTAATATTCTTGCCACAGTGATGCCCCAACAAGATATTACAACTGATTTCATGTCAGATTTGCCAAATCAATTTCCAAATATTAGATCATGGTCACATTGTGTCTTTGTGAAAGTTTTTGTTTTTATGCAGTAGATGTATATAAATCTTCAGTTAATAAGTGTATATATTGTAACATTTTAACAGCATCCCGCTTTTCAAGTAGCCAGAAGTATTACAAAATAAATGTGATATTATCCAATGTGTTGACAAAGACCTCTTTTTGTTTCATTATTGTTGTGCAGGATGTTATTAAAGGCATGATTGTCCAAATATTGTGAAAAGGATATGGAATTATCATGAATAATGATTTTTTTATCACTTTGAACCTTCGGGAATAGAAACACAGTATTCATTGTACTACGTGCTTGTTCCACTAACATCCCTTATCCAACCTCTGGGCCTGTCCGGGCCCCGATTTCTCGAAACAAACTTAAGTTTTTACTCAAATTTCAAACTAAGTTTGACAATTTGAAACAGCTGAATTTTTAACTCAACTGCATTTTTATAATAAAAAAGGCCAAATAATTTAAGTAATCTATCCACCAGACTCCAATTGTCTACTATGTTTGAGTTTAATATCGATTTCAGTTAAACATGGGAAATGCATTTTCTCAAATTTGAGTAAAAACTCTAACTTAAGTCAAAACTCAGACTTAAGTTTGTTTCGAGAAGTTGAGGCCAGGTTTCCAAGTAATCTCTTTAAGTGACCCATATATAGCTCCAAACTTCTTCCAATCTTTGTATGTACGGATGTTGCCATGACTTGTGTCTTACTGATTCCATTGATGCCAACTGTACTGATTTCTTAATATTTGTACAAATGTGTAACTAAATTGCAAAATTATGAGTTCTTCCTTAATAAATACCAATGGTAAGTAGTATTCCAATTAAAGAAAAAAACAGTAACAAGATAAAAAATATTTCAGACAACAGTGAATTTTGTCTGCAACAAACATGTCTCTTGTATTGACTGGAGGCAGGTCTGTAGTGTTTCATGTGCCTGTCATGACACTTCTGACTGAAACATATTCAAACTGGATATGTAATAACTTATGTTAATACCTCTCAAATGATAACAAAAATTATCTACACAGTCAAGGTTTGCTGTATGATAACAAAATTTGCAACAAGTTTCAAAAGTTGTGAAATGGCAGTAGCATATTATGTATCACTAATACATCTTAACGGTACAGGTTTACTCAAAGTTGGTGAATCTTCGTGATTAAGGGGACTTCATTTTTAATCCTCAGATTACCATAACTGTTTCAGATTTGCATAAAATCGTCAATGTATTTATGGCCACATTTTAGATTTTCACAATTTCTTTTTTAGTTGCACTGGCATTTCCAAATGGCGCTGAAGTTAGATGGTATCCTTTAAAAGAGACGTATGTGTTACTAAGCGATAATTATGAACTGCGTTTCGGCATCACATGGCGGAATCATATTGTATTCATATCATCAGTGTTTGGTATCCTCACCAGAATGCTATTGCACAAAGTGATCCCAGCAATAAGTTGATCGGAACTCGAACACCTTAACATAGCGCTAAGTTTGCTTCTTGTAATGGCAGCCAGAAGATCGTAACAAAACACCAAATGTAATTTCAGAAATTTAGAAATTTATCGATTGCCAGTGATAAGCAAGGCTATTTTTATATCAGCTTCACCGTCAATGAAAAGGATATCTAAGAATATCTCTGCAATTATCAATTAAGATCGCTAATGATTTGCTTTCCATCCGATTCCAAGTGACCACCCACAATAGTCAGTGACTGTAAGCCATGGATTATGTCGACTACCGTGCATTGAAGAAGCACAGTGTTATGTCCACCGTCTATTGTTGTGTTCTGGGTTCCCTGATTGCCTAACGCGAGTGACCCTGAATTAGATTTCACTGGACGTGACTGTTATGAAGAGAGGGGGCTAGCACTGGCCATATGTACTCAACTGACCATTGTCAACTGGGATGCAGCCAAGGGTCACTTGACGGGCAGTGATGGGCAGTTTTGGCCACAATTACTCTCGGAATGCTCAAACAATTAGGTGTGGTCTGGCAGTGTTTTTATTCAAATAGTTTGATTTCTAATGAAGTTTGTTCGGAAATTTAACAGCATAATGAAGTTTGGCCCTCTTCTCTTTGTGTGGGGGGGAGTAGGAGAACACTACCTGCGTGCGTGTTTGTTTGTTCGCTTAAAACCTGGGATTAATTTGGTGTTAAAACACAGGTCATGGGGTCCGGCTGTTCCACACCTGACCTTGCTAGGCAGCTATTGAGCTGTGACAAGTTGTAGAAACCTTAGTAGCAGAACAATTACAAACAGCTGATTTTGCTCAAATTTGACAATGATGCTTCAAAGGCAATACAAGAAACTGGTTTAAAGGAAACCTGGCAGTGGCCATTTTCTGGTACACATTATCACATATATATTAATATTTCGGAAGTTTTACCAAAAAGTATATCTTATCATTAGTCAGATTTAAGTCGCTTGGAGTTTTGTACCTGGACAAATTCCCACAAACGCTTCAAATTTTACCTCTAAATCTACCCTAAATTTGACTGTTGTAACTTTTGCAAGTTCCACACCATAGTTAAGTACAGTAAACTGTGTTTATAATGAACCTGCTTAAAAGGAACTAACATATATTACAAGATGTCTTGTTAGTCCTCCCACCTGTATATTTTACCGATATAAGAACTGAAATCGTGGTCCTTATTTGAGTTTCTTGTATCCATAGTGTACAGTGTTACCAAAATGTTTTTTAATCTTTCTAGTCAGAGATTAGGATTTTCAAAATTTGAGACGGGTTAGTACATTCATGTTAGCTATTGTAAGTCTGCCTGACTTTCTGTAACAACAATGACAGGTCCATATATTCAAGATCTGTATCAGCTAATGATGAAGACTTAGCCATGACTTGGTGGATTGTTCTCTCATTTCACAAATATTTTATTTTTTAGAATTCTATAGCCATTGTGAAAGCAGGGCGTAAGATTTCCATATGTTTTTAAGTTATTGGATATTTTCAAATATTGACAAACCTTATTACACTGTGTAAACAGATGTTGATACCTCATTTGATAGAATGGCAGTTTTCTTTAGTCATATTTAGCATTTGAAGTGGTTTTATTTTGTGGCCATTGAAAAATATTTGCAGTATAGCTTATTTTTATGGCAATTATTATGTCCCTTTGAGTTGATTTTCCAAAAACTTTACATTGCTATTTGGCTAAAAGATTTGTGATTTGCTAATGTTTTTTGGGGAAGCCAGGGGGTAAAAATTGTTTGTCATTTTATTGAAGCATCAATTTGAATGACAACATATTTTGGGAATGTATTACTTCCTTCAGTTTGACCTACTTTGAAATATTGTCAATAAAATTATTGAAGAGACTCAGCTAAAAATTAAAATCTTCATATTCTAAATTTAAAAAAAATATTTGTTACATTTTGGTTTGAAAGGTCCAAAAACCAAATGGTTGTAATTATGTCTGTCTCTGTATCGGAAAGCTTTGACCACAGAGTAGCCACTGATACAGCAGACAGGGCAGCCTGTAAATAGCTGGACCAAACCAGTGGTTGATAACATGAGCATCGATATACACAGTGTGGATATGTTGACATGCAATCAATAACAAGTTATCAAGCCTACGGGTCCTATCAAATACATATACTTTGTATTTTATTTGCTATTAGTGTAGTGGAAGTGACCATTTTAATGTCTTAGGCCCTCAACATTTAGTTTCGAGTGAGTGTGTGAGTTTAGTTTTAGGCCGCACTCAGCAATATTCCAGCTATATGGCAGTGGTCTGTAAATAATCGAGTCTGGACCTGACAATCCAGTGATCAACAGCATGAGCATCGATCTGCGCAATTGGGAACCAATGACATGTGTCAACCAAGCCAGCGAGCCTGACCACCCGATCCCGTTAGTCGGCTTTACGGCAAGCATGGGTTACTGAAGATCAATATTCTAACCCGGATTAGAGGCGACTAACGGGATCGGGTTGTCAGGCTCACTGGCTTGGTTGACACAGGTCATCGCATATCAATTGCGTAGATTGATGCTCATGCTGTTAATCGCTGGGTTGTCTGGTCCAGACTGACTCGATTATTTAGAGACTGCCGCCATATTGCTAGAATATTGCTGAATGTGGCATTATACAAGACACCAACCAAACCCACCATGTACCACTATATCATTCCTTGCCTTCAGTGTATGTAAAGACAATCTCCCTTTCTTTGATTGGTTGTTTGGTTTAGGTGTTGTTTGGTTTAGGTGTTGTAGTGTGAAGAGCCTAATGTTGTGTGCAAATGTCCACGAAATTCGTTTGTAGTAATCAGTGTTACACCTTGTGTGTATGTATAACGTGTGTATAAAGGTGTATATTGGATGTATGGTACCTCCATGTGTGTATAACGGTGTATATTGAATGTATGGTACCTCCATATGTGTATAACGGTGTATATTGGATGTATGGTACCTCCATGTGCAATCTGACTGAAGTGTCCGTATCCCTGTGTTCTCTGCTTGTCTACTTGGACACAGATGGCTCAGTTGTCATGCTGGGCAGAGTTGCCTCCCTTTGGCAGACCAGAATCCTATGATAGTTGGTTTAATTTGATATTTTCCCTCATTATGTTTCCAGGTTTGCCAGCATGGTGCTTGTGGATTTCTCCAAAGTACTAAAGTGATAATGAAGGACTGGCATCATTTCAGACTTTCCTCCCTGGTCAAGCTGACACACTGATACAACAGGAATACTGTTTAAAGTGGCATGAGATCCAAGTCGGTCACTCTGGATGTAATAAAACAGAAACCCACATTTTTTGTAAACTTAGTGCTTAGTTTTGTCATTCAGAGTTAGATTCCTGGCAAAATGTACTTGAAAATAATTAAAATGAATTCAGAAATGTTAAATGTTTGTGTTATATGTTTATGTTCAGTAGTGAGTTAATGGTTTATGTTGAACATCTGCATTCAGCATGGGGCAGTAGGGTAGCCTAGTGGTTAAAGTGGTCGCTCGTCATGCCGTAGACCTGGGTTCTATTCCACACATGGGTACTATGTGTAAACCCCATTTCTGGTGTCCTACTCAGCACACATTGATGAAGATTCGGTTTAGAATTGGTCTTTTGTAACCCGTCCTTGTAACAGGTGTGATCAAGGTTACAGATCTAGTGGATGCATTGGATCCCAAATGCTCTTGATGTCAATCCCTGGAATGAATACACAATGCCATTTAGAAAATGGTCAGATGTAACATATGTATATTTGGGATTACACTTTCTCAGTAAAGTACAGATTCTAGTAATTCTGTTGGGTTGGACTGAGTGGGTTAGCCAGTTGGATTTGTGCACTTTCGTTTAGGTAGCTGACTGTGAGGGTGTGGGTTTGAATCCCAGGTGGGACTCATTCCAACAAAAGTACTAAAATCTGTATTTTACAGATAAAGTGTAATTCCCAAAATAACATATGTTACATAAATACTAGGATTGTGAGTTCAGATTATTC